GTCTATTGGCGTGGCAAAGATATTCGGGCAAAAACCTCGCCCTACAAGCTTTGGCTCTACATCATCAAGTGTAGTACCTTGGGGCGTCATACCTCCTCTGCCAACTACCGTAGGATTGAATGTCATTGACAAACAACCTATAGTCGCAATAAAGTCTACTAATCTATCACAATCTGCTTTGATGGTATTAGAAGGGGAGCGCCAAAAGTTCTCTATTACTTTAGAAAACCTTTCAAAGGAGACACCCGTAGATTTACTATTATTTTCCTTCAAAGATTCTACTCAGGCGCCACTACAAACAGCAATGAGTAATCGTGAAGCATCACCAGCAGAGCTATATGAGTACGAATTAATCCTGGCACGCAAACAAGCACTTCGATATATTCCAAATCCTGACCAGAAGCCATACATCGAACCTGGTGGAAAGGCCACTTTTGAATTAGAAATCCTGGGAAAACCTGGTTTAACAAGTGCTTCTGTTCATGTGGACTATGCTCATCTTGGTATCCCTCAGTCAGAGGTTGAAGATGGTTTCCATACTCGTCAAGTGAGCCTACCACTTACGATAACCGTAAATGCAAGCATAGAGCTGGCACGAATGGATGTTATGCCATTTACTGGAAACTTGCCCCTATCTTTGTGGTCTAAAATTGATGGTACTGTTGCAGCTGAGGATTTTATACCGCAAGATCATTGTTTACTAATTCTTGATCTTCGAAATGCTTGGCCAAGCAGTATCCATGTCTCGATCGATATTGAGAAAGGAGGCAAGATTGAAGAAGAAGTGGTACCGGGTAATACGTCCCGCATCATGTTTCCTATTCCTCGGATATATTTGGAAAACCCAACTGCCTCTATCCCAGCTCTTGATCCCTCGCGACAACGGCAGTTCGTCGTAAGCGCAGGCCGAATATCCGCAGATTCCGAACGAGCTACTCGGGAAGCATTCTGGTACCGTGAAGAAATTCTTAAAATTCTGAAAGGAACCTGGGAGACGCGGTCTGGCGTCCGTCGCAAAGGAAATATAGAATTACGCGGTCTTCGTCTCAGCCAACGTGTTATTGACGCTATCAGAATTGAGGATATTTCAATTGACATCTTAATAAATGATAAGTCGGGTCCAAAACACGACGTTCATACCGATACATTCTCTTCGATTACTGTTCGCATCAGCAATCGATCGTCTAACTCCATTCATCCACTTCTTCGTCTTCAACCATCTATTCGCAATCATTCACTGACTCAAACTCTCGATCTATCCAAGAAATTTGTTTGGAACGGTGTGCTGCAACAGACTCTCCCACAAGTTCCTGGGAACGAACAAATCGAAGTTAATATCGGCATGACTCCGCTTTGTAGAGGTGAGTTCGAACTCAGTGCTTCAGTCGAAGAAGTGAGATTAGTTGAGGTGCAGAAAGAGGAAGTCACAGTTAAAGAAGGTGGGAGAGCCAGAGCTGATACGAAGAATCTGATGGATGCGATGCTGGGGGCTAAGGAGAGGAGGATCTGGCATTCGAGAGAACCTTGCTTGCTTGTTGTGAGGGATGAGGATGATACGGAAGATGAGGAAGAAGAAGATGCTGATGATCAAGATAAAGTTGATGATAAAGTTGGAAGTGCTCAAGATGATTAGAGAAATAACTAAAGAGCAAAGGAGTCTAATTGTATTATCGTACGAATGTTTGTACCTAGATTTGCTGTGTATAAGGTTAAGCGTTCATTTGGAATCGGAATTTTAGCGGAGAGGAGACGAAAATAGGGGATAGACGCAGTGATGAGAATTCAACGGAGGTTGGCTTTTTGAATACCCACCTGGGTAGGCATTGCATGGCGGGGGCTGGGATATAGAAGGAGAGATACAATGAATGTTGGAGGGGTGAGGGGGAAAGAGAAAAGAGAACAGGGAAAAGGGAATAATATAGATAGGATGAGCATGAGCATGAGATACCTTAAATGATGTTTTATGATCCATTTTTACTTTTACCATGATTTTCATATAAACTTCCGTTCTCGAAATGCTTCCCAAGGGTTCGGCCGACTTTCACCCACCCACCCACGGAAGGGGCACTGTCTCTTGAATCGATGAATTCTTCATTTGCTATGATATACTCAACTTATTAGATTCACATGAGAAATACCTGTTATTGATATGTCAAGTAAAGTAAACTTATGCCCCCACATAAAGAAGAAATTCAGCAGCACAAAAAAGAATACAACGTTTCATTACTCGAGGAGTGTTCGATCTTATAACACGTTGATAACACGAAATCTCTATTTTTATAACTATCCTTGTCAACGAAGACATATTCTAAATTCTAGTCGTAGCCAAAGCCATCTAATCTAATGCGGCATGCAATAAAGCAATGATACAACAATTTCCAACCCTCCCATTTCATAACACCAGAAAATCATGTAGAGCTATATACACAAAATTAAGCTTATTGCCGACAAGTAGTTCCTCAATATCATCATCTAGTTCCGACCCTCTAGAGAGCCCCATGTTGTGTGACACTTCCCTGACTTCTAAGACCGCCCCTGGTAGGTTCTTCCGGCGCCTTGAAATTACCCTCTACCAAACTCTTAAGCTTGTTTGCCATAAGTTGATATTTCTCCTTCGGCTCATAATCGACTGCAGGTACAAAGTCGGCAAAGCCGGTTCGGAATTCTAATTTTCTCACATTCTTCAGATGTTTCAAGGGTTTGAACATGCCGCAATCCATGAATATTTCCGTGGCGGTCATATTAGCCTTGAGATCCGCCTTGCTTTGTTTGTCCTCCATTTCATCCAATGCATCTTCATCATCTGAATCAATTGATTCGGCATCTAAACGTGTCTCGGCCGTGACTTCGACAAGTAGATTGATGGTGAGCTTATTGACGACTGGGGATTTAGATAAGATCTTGACAAAGTCCTTGACGAAGGTCAAACTGCTTATGCATCTGCGAAATCTAGTTTCATCTTCAGAATCAAATTTCCCAGTCTCGATGTCCAAAAATAATGGGACGTTCTCGGTATGATCTTCTTCCAATGCACAATCGAAGACAACCTTTTGAAATTTTGCGAATATGTGAGGCTCCACACATCCACCCAAGTCCTCTTGATCGTATTGTATGGTGCCATTTGGCAGTTTTTTCGCGACAGATGTGAGAGGATTGTGCCTCCATGGATTCATACCATACATGGTACCCAATTTGTAAATCTTGTCGTTGAAAAAGAGAAGGTCGTTACAACAGATGACGACGGTGGCTTCAGTGAAGAACATGGAAGAGGCCTCTTCGTATATTTGTTTGTTAACCCGCAAGATCTCAGGCCACATGCGGTATTTTGCTACGAAGTCGCTTCCACCGGAGCTTGTAGAGTCTGTTTCCCACTTCCCTCCGTACTTTGTTCTTATGGCCGTTCCTCCATCTTCTAAGTTCACCACTTCAACATCATCAGGTGTAGGTATTGCCGGGTCGACTTCACTGAGAATCGACTCCGCTTCGGGATTCGACGGGAACTCTGGATCATCATTTGTTTCGATCGTACCTTGTTGCTCCGCCATTGACCACAATAAAGTTCCCAACTCATCGATACCCCCGGGTCCATCATACTCTATCTCCATGTCTGAATTATCGCCATCGAATGAGATCGTATCTTCGTCGGTCCAACCATCCGATGATGAACTACCGCCAGAACTTAAATGATCACCCCCTCGCCTGACAAAAACGTATCTCACGGGAAGAATCAGATATCGATATATCTCTAGTCGAATTTCTACAATTCTTATTAGTCAACGCATAAGAGATAAGCATGGCGAGATATTACCTTTCGGAAGAGAGAGAAGCATAGATGGCATATCTGGTGTTGGAATTGCTGCAGGATGATTTGCATAAAGTTGAACCTCTGGTGGTGGAGGCATTCGATTTCCAGTTTGTCGAATGTAACGGTTAAACTCTTCTTTCTGATCACTAGATGATTTGCCGATTTCAGCTTGAGAATCATCGGAATCGTTGTTGGCCATTTTCGAGCACTAGAATGATGTTTGGCTGTAAAAATTTGGAGCTTGTGGATTGGAGATTGAAAATGATTTATGACCTCAATAAAATTCTAGATTATCGCGGGGTACTTTGGACTAACCCGATTAGGCAGCGCGTCAAATTAGGTAGTTGTAGATAGACGAAGGGGGAAATGGAAATGCCGCTTAGGGGTCGGGAGTTGAGAGGTATTTTTCATGAGAGCCGTGATAAATATCTCTACTTTGAATCTAATTGAGCTGTCACCGTGGTAGTCTGCAGTTAAGTCTTGTATTATAGAATTAGTTAAGAAAGGAGATGTAGATTACTACGTCCTTTGAAGCATCATTTGTTATACGTAAGGTATAGTTCAATAGCTATCTACAAATCTGAACTTGAAGTCCGCTTCGAGTTCACTGAGTGAGAGTCATCGTAGTATACATTCCTGATTTCCTGATCTAAACTATTTTCGTTAGAATCGAATATTCAGACTAAAGTCAAGATATATTCTACTTATGGAAAATACTTATCTAAATTGCTTAAATATAATCCCAAGATGATCTTAAAAGCTAGAGCAAATATACTACATCATACAGATTAGAAGTAGTGTTCTCTTGGCTAGATTGACTTTGGATTAGGGGAGACCATTTACCGTAATGAGTATAGCGCGTCATTGATGAGCTTAATTCATGAATGATTCACACACTACAGAAGATAACCCGAATAATTCACCAATGATTTACAACAAAATTATATCATGTTCTTGTTTCAAGAGAGGTAGCACATGCACTAAGTGTGTGAATCACACACTATTTACACGATTGATGGCACACGTGATTCAAAATTTGTACCTTCAGTAGATACACAAGGCTTCTTTCGAAGGGTATAAAGTCTCGACTTTGGCCTCCCTATCATCTTCACAAATTTCTCACATACATTTCAAGAACAAAAAACCCTTCATCACAACTCTTCCCATTAATTACTATATAGCATAGCTTCTCAACATGTCTTTGTCTTTTGAGGGACTCAAACCCGAGGAGTTTCAGATTCTCGAGCAGGAAAAAATCATTGGCGCTTCCATTAACGGGAAGAGAAAGGTTTCTACCGGGCTTTTGAGTAAGCTTTCTTGGAAACATCATTCATTGATATCTTCCAGCTCCAATATAACAACTACTGATACCAAAATCTTTAGGTCCAGAGAACAGCGATGGAAGCACTACATCTTCATTAAGTTCCGGATCCACAACTTCAATCCGAGTCCTTCACAAAGGTGCAGCAAGCGTTGGAAGTTTCGACCTTCCGGAGAGCCTCGAGTGTCTAGCTCTTGTCGAATATCTTGGATATACGAGACCCAAAGTCGCGGAGATTTTCACAAGATGGTCTGCTCGTCCAGATCCAGACTCTAATCCATATGACCTTAAGAAGTAAGTAGTGACACTTTACTCACGCTACTAGCAGCCATATATTCCGTTTTTCAAAGGGTGTAGAACATTGCTGACCTTCATTCTTTCTAGTCACGCCCTTGTCGAACTTATTAATCTCGAGAGAGAGCCTCTCAGAGATTTCCTTGATCGACCAGCAGAGGCAATGAGACGTCTTGGGATTTCAGAAGAAATGGTGAACTGCATGACGGCTCCAGAGCATAAAGCTATGTTCGAGACCGGGACACTTGCTGCTTGGTTGGACATTGCCATGCGCTCTAGATATGGAACCGCGATGCGATATCTCGATATCTTGAAGTCTCAAGCCATCCGAACCATCCGCACTAAGAAGGGGAAGAAGAGAGGAAAGATTGACAGTGTTTTCCAGCCTGGTGGTTCCACTACTACCACAAATGTCGCTTTAGCCACGAGTTCTGCTTCCATGAGCTTGGAGTCCAAGTTTGCTGGCGAAATGTTCCCGCGTGAGCATGTAACAATTGTTCAAACTCCCCCGCAGGACCGCCCAGGATTCGTCACTTTGTACAAAGGAAAGAGCACAGGATTCGACTATCAGAAGCCAACGACGCTCATCGAGGAAAACGGAAATCTCAACATGCAATTCTTAGCAACATACACTGGTGGTGAATTCAACGGGCAGAATTTAGCATGGTATTGGACGCGGGAGAAGGAGACTGCGGAGTGTTACCGCCAATGGGCAGCAACGTACGATGTCCACGGCGAGACATGGATCATGCAGATACAAGTTCCGGAAACATTCTTGCAGAGCGTCAAGATCGAGAGATTGTGGTATGGATATGACTGGAAGTAGTATTTTTGGTACTGCAAGAAGATGACTCGCAATTCCAACTTGCCGGAAAACTTGCGCAAGTATGCCACCGCCGATGTCATGGAGGGGCATATCTGTAAGCGCCATCCTTCCATTGTACCAAAGATTTTGAAACAGGATGTTCAACAGAAACTCACGGAGGATGATTGCTTGGTTTTAGGCAATGGACGAAAATCTACACAGACGGTGTTCATGAACTGGGAGGTAGTCGATAGGCTTGAGCCTCTCATTAGAGGAAATATGTACATAGAAGTTCATCGCGCTGCGGTCAAACAAGCATAGATGATGAAGGTACACAGTGTAAGATAGCAGGTTGAAGCATGGGTTTATGAAACGTAGTTTATATAAATAGCATAGCCTGAAAATTTAAAATATTCATTAAAACCACCTCTTCGGAAGACAAATTCCATTTCTCTTCTTTGATTCTACTGTAGATTCGTCACTAAGAATTGGGCTATATCTAAGATTATAAGTATTTCATAGATTAGCTTCTTGTTGTTATTTGATCTTATAAATTCTCTTTAAATTCAATTTACAGATATTAAGGTTTCCTTTTCAATTCTTTTTGTATCTTTATATATCTATCTCTAAAGAATTTAATCTTACTTTTCATTATTGTATTTTACTTTCTTTATATCTATATTGTGTATAGAAAGCGATTCAATCTTAAACCCTGAACTATAGATTGTAATAACTTTACTTTTTTTAAGCACAATCGCAGAAATTATTTAATTTCTTATTACATGGGTTATATGATCTATTAATACTTATTCTTATAATAATATAATCCCCATCATCTCTTTAAAAGACTTGATATATTAGTAAACCTGTTGTATTTTCTATCTTTATATTCCAAGTTTTATTTAAATTGAGACGATTGAGTTCAAGGCATGATCGATAATTGATAATAAATAATGAATTAAAGTTAACAATTTATACAAAAGAATATCAAGTTATTGAATATAAGAATTGAAGGTATAATATCCTTTTATACCTTTTGCTAATAGGACCTTAAGATTTTGCCAACAGAATCTTTTTCTCTGTTCTGGCAGGCATAATCCTTTCAATCCGTCACATCACTTTCCCTTCTAGAATCGGCAATGCTCTTATTGTTCTTGTTTCTATTTCTTTATACCTTTCTTATTTTCAATCTTAATTTCTATATCAAGTACTATTCTTTTTCTTGAAATCGAGAGCAAGGGCGAAGTGTTATAATCTGATTTCGAATCCGAGATTTCGATAGTATAAGCCTTTTTTACCTTAATCATTTTTCTTAGTGTATGCCTAATAGCTATACTGCCTTCATTATTGCAAACGCGCAGAGTTCTTTTTCTTTCTGGATTCCCAGCTTCTCCTAGAAATAGAAAGGAGGTTATGGAGAATTCATCCTTGAATGGACCCAGGATACTGCAAGACAATATAATTAATCTATTTTCTTTAAAGAAGGTCGAAATTATAGAGAGCAATTTCACTAAGGCTTTTTTCTTTAACAAAGTTATAATTGTTTTGATATTATCGTTACAAAAACCGAAATACTAGTTTCCAGGGTTTCTAATTCTCTGTTTTTTGCTTTTCATTAAAATTCTCTAAAGATAGTTAAGGATTGCTATATTGATAGTTTAACAGCTATCAATCTGAGATTTGGTTAGATAGAGGGTATAGATTAGAAGGATAATAAACGAGACATTATACTGCTATTCTTTTATTGTTTTAAAATGTTTCTGGAATATAATAACTTGAGGTTTTTTTTAACTATATATTTTGTTGTCTTGTTATTAGAATTTCTTTTGCAACTTTGTACTACGTTTCAGGAAGTTTTTATATTCAAAATATTCAATCTAGATTTCGACTTTAACACAATTGTTAGCCTTTTAGAATCTTTCTTTTTTTTCAAATTGGGATAGCTTGGATACCTTATTTCTGGTATCGAGCAGATTCTTGATAATCTGCTTTTTTATTAATCTAACTGTATTGAATTGTATTTGCTAGCCTGAAATTCGTTTGATTCAGTTAATAATCCTGATTAAAGAAACTAATCCCTTAAATTGAAAAGTTATTAAAGCCGATGCCTTTTCCGTATTTAGTTTTGAAGTAATAGTATTTGTAAATAGTTCAAGTTGTTTATATAATGTAACTTCATTTGCGGCAACTTTTGTGAGTTTATTGTTGATAATAGTAAGGAAGGAGGTTTTGCTAATATCTGATTTATTTATTGGAGCTAGGGAGTAATTACAGCTGGGGATTCTTGGTAATAATATTCTTTAATAGAATAAATTAAAGAAACTAATAACTAAATTTATTTTTATCGTAGGTCATGAGCTAGTATATGAGTATATAGTATATAAGAGGGAATAGACTAATATTAGTCTATTATGGGAAGCTGGCTCGTATTAACAACTAAATAGCTATGAAACACGTGATTTTCATGAAACAGTATATGATATTCTTATTTTCTTATTCTATATTCGAGGGGAAAGGCCTTATTTTATGCTTTTTCCTACTAATCTAGCTTTCCACTTTCGTTTATTTATCGTAGATCTCTTCCTAATCCGGCCATTCCATCAAATAAAGCTTTTCTTTCTTATTCCTTATTCGATTTCGCTAGTACTATGTCGATCTTACTACGAATGGATTGAAAGAACTAATAAAGAGCTAATAAAGAATTGATTTTCAGGCCGTTCTGGGCTAAGAGCTCTCTTAAGCGACGATCATGTGATTTGATCATGTGATCATGTGATTCGCTCTTAGTTTACTATATGAATATAGAACTATATATATATATATATAAAGATATATTATTATATTATTTTTTTATATAAAAACAATATATATTACTATAACTAATTTATTAGCGAACTTTTTCTTATAATCATTAATACAATCAATCAAAAAATTATATTCTTCTTTCGAATTTTATTTTGAAAAATAATAAAATAAATACATTTGATAAGTATATTAAAGATCGATTTTATCCTGAAACATATTATTTGTAGTATTTATAATGGGATACGATGACTCTCACCTATATATAGTATATCCTACAAATCTTCGATTGTATGATCGAAAAGCTAAGTAGAGTCAGCTGGAGCTGGGTAATGGTTATATACTAATTGGAGACTATATTGAAAGCAAAGATATATATAATTGATTACCAAAAAATGATTACAAAGATATTCGAAATAAAGGATTACTAATAAAACAAAGATGAAAATTATTTGATAATAAAAGGAAAATAAAAATAGGATTGATATAGAATTATATTTTTATAAATCTATATAGAGAATAAAGCCAGAGTATATTATAATAGAATATTTGTAAAGTAGAATTAGTTCTTGAAATAATAAATAATAAAGCTTCTATAATATAATTAAGTCTAATTGAAGCCTGTATTAAGAATAGGGCTGATATCCTTAACTTAATAAATGAAAATCAATAGAATATCTTTGGAATACTAGTGTGTAGAGTTTTTATAATCCAATAATATATACGATCTACAGGTATACTGGATCGAATATTTATAAATAATAAAGGGAGTAATAGAAAGTATATAAAAACTAGAATAATATCTATTAAGGCTAGCAGGAGTATATATAGAATAAGAGGAGGGATGTTTTTAGTATCTTATTTTTGAATATATAGAAATAGTATAGTGATGAAGGAGCTTCGATATAGAAAGAATATTTTTAGCAAGCTATACTCAACAATACTCGATCAATATTATAGTGACAAAGGATTTCAGATAAAAGCCAATCCTATGATATATATATACAATATATTTTTAGTACTCTATTTTTGATTATAAATTATATATTAAAGAAATAGATTCTATAAGTAAAGCTTTGATTAGTGGATTAGAAATATTATGAAAGGGCTGTTTGGCTAAGGATCTGAAATAGTAAGCCTGTAAAATATAGTTAGTTTTGTTATATAAGAGAATCCAATAAGGTAATGTAAAATAACTATTAGCTATAAGATATAATATATAATAATAGTAATAATAATACTATCTATATGGCTTAAGAGAATAAATATATATATCAGTCTATAATCGGATACTATAAGGTAAAGAATATAATAAAGATATTAGATAAACTTAAGGAACCAAATAGAAATAGAAGTGTAAAGAAATGGTTTTGATTCTAACCGGAACTTCTGAAGGTAATTACACAATAAATGGTTTAATATAGTTAGAAGATTCTACAAAAGCCTAATACTAGTAGCTTTATCATAAGTGAGCCGGGAAAGTATCTATAGATATAGCGAACCTACTTTGTATTATAATATATTCTAGAAATTAGTTATAATATAATTCATTTCTGACTTACGATGTCGACAGACTTATCGCCAGACTTACAAACGCATTGAGCGCCTCTATAGAAGCTGTAGGGCAGAAAGGCCGCAAACCCTACCGATCATCCCTATGGTGGATCGATAAATGTAAGGAGGTATATCGAATATATACATAAGCCAGGAGAACTGGAACTGTTGACAAAATAGCAACTGTCCAGCAGGACCTACAAAGGGTTGTGCGAGTATCGAAACAAGTCTATTGAATTAAACGCCTAAACAATATACAAAATGATCAGGAATTATATAAAGTCATAAACTGGCACAAGCTGACCTCAGAAGCAGCCCTTAAAGCCCCTCCTCTGGTAATCAAAGACCAAGAGATTACTGATACTAGGGAAAAAGCCGAAGCATTTTTTATAGTAATATTCGATCGCTTCAAAGTATTAGATAATCTATAATACAATTCTTTACAGAAATAGAATAACTAAATAACCTTATTATAGAAAAGAAACGATTATTATAAAAGAAATAGAAAAATATATTTATTTATTTATTTATTTATAGTAATTAACGTCTAATATCTGACCTCCCAAGGGGTATTCTAGATATACTAAGGAGCGGGCCTATAGGCTATTAGCATTCCAGTCGCTTATAGTAATATAATGTTAGCTAATTAGGAGCTTGTTATCTCT